CGGCACCTTCGGGGCGAGCGGTCGCCCCCGGCCCGGAGCTGGAGAGGCCCCGCCGGGCAGGGGAAGCGGGGGCGAAGGGCGGCCGGGGGCGGTGCGGGGTGTGGGACCCGGGTGCGAATCCGGGATGTGGCTCCGGGATATCGGTGGGGAAGGGTTTTAAATCTGAATTTTGGGATTTTTAAAAAAAAATATTTTCCTTGCTTTTTATTCTTTTCCTCTCCGTGTCGTGCCCGGCCCCTGCCCGGGGGCTCGGTGGCTCCGCGGGCTCTGCGACCTCCGGGACTCCAACGCCGAGCGGGACCGGGGGCGGGGCCAGGGCAGTGAGGGGCGGGGCACCCGTCATTCATAAACAGTGAGAGGCGGGGCCTGGGTTGTGTGGGCGTGGCCTGGCGTGACGGAGGCGGGGCACAAACCATTGAAGGCATTGAGGGGGCGGGGCTCCGTCGGCTGTCACCGTGCGGGGGCGGGGCCTGCGCAGCTGGGGGCGTGTCCGTCGGCATCTGTGGTCACGAAGGGGGCGTGGCCTCGGCTGCCGCGGCGGGCGCACGTGTCGGCGAGGGGCGGGGCGGCGGGCGCGCGCACTGCGCCGGCGGGAGCGCGCGCGGCGCGGGGCGGGTCCGGGCGCGGCGCTGAGCGGCGGCGGCGGCGGCGGCGGAGCAGCGAGAGCGGGGCCGGCCGGGCCGGGCCGGGCCGGGGCCGGGGCCGGGGCCGGGGCGGGCGGCGGGGGCCCGCCGGGCGCCCGCCGGGCGGCCGGCGCCATGGGCACGGTGCTGTCGCTGTCGCCGAGCTACCGGAAGGCCCCGCTGTTCGAGGAGGGGGCGGCCACGGTGGGGCACTACACGGCGGTGCAGAACAGCAAGAACGCGAAGGAGAAGGGCCTGAAGCGGCACTCGCTGATCTCGGTGCTGCCCTGGAAGCGCATCGCCGCCGTCTCCGCCAAGAAGAAGAGCTCCAAGAAGGTGCAGCCCAACGGCGGCTACCAGAGCAACGTGACCCACCTCAACAACGAGAACCTGAAGAAATCGCTCTCCTGCGCCAACCTCGCCACCTTCGCCCCCCCGCCGCCCCCCGCCGCCGCCGCCGCCGCCCTCGCCTCGGCGCAGAAGGCGCCCCCGGCCGCGCCCGCCGCCGCCGCCGCCACCCCGCGCCGGGTCGTGGTGCAGGCGTCCACCAGCGAGCTGCTGCGCTGCCTCGGCGAGTTCCTGTGCCGCCGCTGCTACCGCCTGAAGCACCTCTCGCCCACCGACCCCGTGCTCTGGCTGCGCTCCGTGGACCGCTCGCTGCTGCTGCAGGGCTGGCAGGACCAGGGCTTCATCACGCCGGCCAACGTGGTCTTCCTCTACATGCTGTGCCGGGACGTCATCTCGGCCGAGGTGGCCAGCGACCACGAACTGCAGGCAGTGCTGCTCACCTGCCTGTACCTCTCCTACTCCTACATGGGCAACGAGATCTCGTACCCGCTGAAGCCCTTCCTGGTGGAGAGCTGTAAGGAGGCCTTCTGGGACCGCTGCCTCTCCATCATCGACCTCATGAGCCCCAAGATGCTGCAGGTCAACGCCGACCCGCACTACTTCACCCAGGTCTTCGCCGACCTCAAGAAGGAGAGCGGCTCCGAGGAGAAGGGCCGGCTGCTCATCGGCCTCGACCGGTGAGCGCCCGCCGCCCCCGGAGCCGCTCCCGGGGGGATTTGCCCGGCGGGGAAGGGCGGGAGCCGCCGCCTCCCCACCCCGGGGGGACTCGGGGGGTTCGGCCGCCGCCGGACCGGAGCGCAGACCCCCGGTTCCCTCTCCCGCCGCCGCTTTCCAGCCGCCGCTTTCCCCTCCCCGTGCTGCGGGCCCGGGGATGCTGCGGCTCCGCCACCGGATTGATCCCAGCGATTCATGGATGGGGGGATAACGAGAACCCCCCCTCCCCAGCCGATATCCCCCGGGAGCGGAGCGGGGCTCCGCCGGTCACCGCATCACCGAGACAGAGCCCAGGTAGGGGGGAAAAAAAAAAAAAAAAAAAAAAAAAAGGAAAATAATTCCTGTAAAGGCTCCAGCGCAGGCGGCTGAACCGGCCCGGTCGGGACTCACCGGGACAGAGACGCGGGCACGGCCCGGGGACCCCCCCACCCCCCTTTCCTCCCTCATCCCCCCCCCTTTATTTATTTTCTTTGAAGAGACTCGAATTCCCGAGCGGGTCCGGGTGACGGGAATCACCGCTACTGTTCATGAGATCAATGTGAAATGTCTTGTTCCCATCGTGCACTGGTCATGAGTATTGTGTAAAGGATCTACTTGAGTGTGCAAGCAAGGGGAGCCGCCACATGCTGCTATATGAATTCTTCTAGAACAAACCCAACGAACTGCAAACCTGCGGGGGGGAAAGAGAAAAAACCCTTCTTTCTTCTGTCATTGTTGCTTTTCCAGTGGTATTGCGCATGCAAACAGGAGCATTTTGTGTCTTCGGGAAAAAAAAAAAAAGGAAAAAACGCATAAAAAAATAATAATCAAAAGAAAAACCTTAAGAGAGATGGCTGTAAAATTACACCCATGCACAAAGACCCGCCACCACCCCGACACCGCAGTCTCGAGCCGGTATTCCCGTATCAGGCCTGGGGACTGAGACCTTCTTTTTGGGTTTTATCGTTTTCTTTTCTCCGTGTGCTCAGTTCTAGTTTAGTTCTGGTCCATCGGGCGTTAAACTGGCGAACAAGAGGGAGAAATAACGTGCCATTTATTTTTATTTTTGATTTTTCACTTGAAGCTCTTCATGGCTGTACATTGGACCCTGCTAATGATACATGTGTATGTACGTTTTTTTAGTGCAATCTCTTCTGTAGATCTTTGTTGACCAAATTGGTGGGTATTGTTACTTATTAATTTATATTTGTCTCATTTTTGTATGTATGTGTATAGTGTGTTTGTAAGTATGTGTGGTTTATAACCCGACCGACTGTGTCATGGGGCTCAGTGTGCCTGTAATTTAATCCCCTTCCCTTATTTTTATTTATTTTTGTACTGTGCTGATTAAATAAAAATGCACTGACCATCCATTACACGGCAGCGGCTCGTGGCCGAGTCTTTTCTGCGCTCGCAGCCCTCGGAGGCTGGCGGTGGATTTGTGTTGACGACAGAGCTTTAACGCAGCCGCCGCTTTAATCGCGTTACCGGGGTCACCCCGTGGTGGGAGAGCGGCGGGGCCGCAGCACTGGAGGGGGAAGATCGGGATACTGGGATAACTGGGATAACTGGGAAATCCATCCCATCCCTCTGGGCATCATCACCCCCGCGCCGGCAGGAACGGGCAGGGCCACGGTGGGATGCAACTAATTGCTTTCTTTTATTATTTATTACAGTGAATTATGTAAACAAAATCCAGGTCATCCAGGTCCATTAGAGTAGGGGTTTTTTAATGCTCTTTTACACATAAAATATCAGCGATTTATTAAAAAAAAAAAAAAAAGGTTCATTGCATTACCGCCCCTGGCTGACAATCCAAGTTTCAATTTAGAAATAGTTAATTTATGGGAAAACCAAGAATATATATACTTTATATATTTATATATATATTTTATATATATATATAAAACCAGAGCAGGAACAGATAATATATTTTATAAGACACATCTCATCACATATAATATTGCCATCTCATGGTAGGAGATCATTTCCCAAGCCTGCAATTCCTTGCCGTCCATCCCGATTCCACCCGACCGCTCTTCTGGAGGGACAAAAGTGCTGATCCCACCCCCAGCACCCGCCCGGGGCGGGGACGTTTGCACCGGGACAGGAGGCGAGAAGTGCAAATCCCAGGGCACAGACACGGCCGGGCGTTCCTGGGGGGGGTCCCGGGCTTTGGCATTGGTGCTGCCCCTCCAGAGGGGCTGATTTGGGGTCCAAGGAGGCGCTGGGGGATCCCGGGGTGGCCCCGGGGTTTTGTGTGAGCCTGGCGGGGTCGGGGCTGCCGCTGTCACCTCCTGGCCCAGCGCTGGTGCTGCCTCAGGGGTTGGGGGGTCTGGAGGAGCCCCTGCCCAAGGGGACATCCCAGAGCTGCACCCTGAGAGGGGCACAGGGGGCTGGGGGGTGCTGGATGCCCCCAGGGCTGGTCCAAGGCCAGGGACAATGGGAATGGAGAGCTCTGCCACGGGGCCTCCCGTGCATGGCCTGTCCCAGCTCATTCGTGCTCCACATCCCTGCCCCCTCCTGGTCTCAGGGGTGGGACACCAAGGCTGCAGTGACCTGTCCTGTGCCCCATGTCCATGGCACAGCTTCAGGAAACCTTTGTGCCTGAGGAGCCTCTTCCAGGCTTTCTAATTCCCAAAATGCTCCATCAAACAACTGCTCCCCTTTGCTGGCCGGGCTGGGACCCCGAGGTGGGGTCACCCTCAGCTCCCCCATTTCCAGGGTTGGGAATCCTGACCTGTCCAGCAGTGCCAGGACAATCCCAATGTACAATCCCACCAGCCTGGGCTGCTCAGGAACCACAGCAGTGCCCAGCACAGTGGGAATAAACCACTGAGGAGATCCATCTCCCTCCACCAACACAGAGCTTGGGGTTATCTGGGCTGGGCAGGAGGAGCCCAACACCCCAAAACCCACAGCCCACTGTGGGAGAGCCAGGAAAACTCATGGAGGGAGAGGAGCCTGGTGCTGGCAGCTGGGGCTGTGCCAGGTTAATGTTGGATAGTGCAAAGCTTGGCCCCCCAAACTCCCCCTGTTCCTCACCCCAGCCCTCCCTAACCCCAGCGCTGGCACAGACACGAAGCCACGTGGATCATCCAAAATTCAGCAAGGCCACACAGTCCCAAAGGGAACCCACCTGCTCCAGGCCCTTGGAGGGGATAATTAAGGCAAAAAGCAACGCAGGATTAACGAATCCAGGCCTGCATTAGAAGTCCCCTGTCCAGCCAAGGTGCCTCGATGGGTTGATGAATTCCCGAGGGAAAGCAGCAGCTCTGGAGGTGTCTCCATGAACCTTCCCAGCCCCTGGGGGCTGGAGGAGTGTGGAGTGTGGAAGGCAGCCCTCCCTGCCCAGCCTGGCTCCGGCTCCGTGGGGATCTGGCCCTACAGAACCCGACTCCCTGAGCTGGGCATCTTTGGTTCCTCCTCTGGAGGCTGCATCAAACTGCAAAAACTGACACAAGGGAAAGGAGCATGGAAGGGAGAACCGGAGAGGGGGTGAGGAATCAACGGGGGAAAAGGAAGAAGGGGTGGAAGTACCTAGAAACTTTTTTTTCAGACTGATTCCAAAGGAAGTGCTCTCCTGATGTTCCAGCCTGGTTTGTAATGTGGAGAACAAGTCACCAGCTATTTTAGGTCTTCATTCCGTGCGAATTTGGCTTTTCTAAACCCCTGGAATTCGGGTTTTCCAAACCTTGAGCTTCAGAGGCTGCTTTAGGCACCTTTAGGTCGCTGCCGAGCATCTCCCGGTGGATCCCGGCGGTCCCGGGGCGGCTCCCGGGGAGGGAGGGGCCGTTAATTGCCCGGCACGCAGAGCACGAAGCCCGAGCGGTGCTTGGTGAAATCCGGCTGGGGCTGGTTGGTCTTGGTCTCCACGGACACCGTGCATTTCCTGCCGTGCAGGCTGCACTGCACCGGGTTGGTGACAGCGACGTGCAGGGAGCGCTTCTCCCTACGGGAGAGAGACACAGTCAGGAGGGGAATGGGATCCATGGGGTGGGATCCATGGGATGGGATCCATGGGGTGGGATGGGATCCATGGGATGGGATGGGATCCATGGAATGGGATGGGATCCATGGAATGGGATCCATGGGATGGGATCCATGGGATGGGATCCATGGGATGGGATGGGATCCATGGGATGGGATGGGATCCATGGGATGGAATCCATGGGATGGGATGGGATGGGATCCATGGGATGGGATGGGATCCATGGAATGGGATGAGATCCATGGGATGGGATCCATGGGATGGGACCCATGGGGTGGGATCCATGGGATGGGATGGGATGGGATCCATGGGATGGGATCCATGGGGTGGGATGGGATGGGATGGGATCCATGGGATGGGATGGGATCCATGGGATGGGATCCATGGGATGGGATGGGATCCATGGGGTGGGATGGGATGGGATCCATGGGATGGGATGGGATCCATGGGATGGGATGGGATGGGATCCATGGGATGGGATGGGATGGGATCCATGGGATGGGATCCATGGGATGGGATGGGATGGGATCCATGGGATGGGATGGGATCCATGGGATGGGATCCATGGGATGGGATGGGATGGGATCCATGGGATGGGATCCATGGGATGGGATGGGATGGGATGGGATCCATGGGATGGGATGGGATCCATGGAGTGGGATGGGATGGGATGGGATCCATGGGATCCATGGGATGGGATGGGATCCATGGGATGGGATGGGATGGGATGGGATCCATGGGATGGGATGGGATCCATGGATGGGATCCATGGGATGGGATGGGATGGGATGGGATGGGATCCATGGGATGGGATGGGATCCATGGATGGGATCCATGGGATGGGATGGGATGGGATGGGATCCATGGGATGGGATGGGATGGGATGGGATGGGATCTATGGGATGGGATGGGATCCATGGGATAGAATGGGATGGGATGGGATGGGATCCATGGGATGGGATGGGATGGGATGGGATGGGATAGGATGGGATGGGATGGGATGGGATGGGATGGGATGGGATGGAATGGGATCCATGGGATGGGATGGGATGGGATGGGATGGGATGGGATGGGATGGAATGGGATCCATGGGATGGGATGGCCACAGATGGGACAGGTGTTTTCAGGTCAGGCACATCCTGCAGCCACCCCAAAACTCTGTGTTAAGCCAGGCCTGAGCTCTGAGCGCAGCTCTGGGCTTGTGAAGCCTCCCACTGTGGGATTGGGATCCTGTGGGAGGCCTCAGCTCCATGGGCAGAGCCCAGACCAGGTCAAAGGGCCCAGGGGCTGCTGCCAGCTCAGCCACTGCCCCCTGAATGACCCTGCAGTGACCCCTGGGCACCCCGTGACACCAGCCCTGCCACCAGCTCTGTGCCTGCAGCAGTGACAGGGACATCCCTGGGCTGAGCTCAGACTGAAACACAGCCTGAACAGTGGGAGGAACCACAGGTGAGGTGGTGACTGCTCCCAATTCCCTCTCAGATGGACAGACAGACAGACAGACCAAACTGGCTGGGACTAAACTCTGTCCCTGCAGCTGTTGAACCCCCTAACCCAGTTCTGGCACTATAAATGATTCCCACGAGTGAATCAGGACTTTCTGCCCCCCAGGTTGTTTTGTGTGGCTGTGGGGTCACTGCCAGCGGGGACACGAGGACAGCAGGGCCAGGATGACTGGCAAGAATGTTCCCCTTTGCTAAAGGCCATAAAGACCCCTGCTCTAAATCCCAAATAATGATCCTTGTGCCATAAGCAGAGAAATCATAAATCATGGAATCATTCAGGTGGGGAAAACCCTCTGGGATCATCAAGTCAAACTGTTCCCCCAAGGCCACCACTGACCCGTGTCCCCAAGTGCCACATCCATGTGCCCTGGGCAGCTGTCAGTGCTCACCAGCCCTTTCCATGAAGAAAGGGAAGAGCCCAGCAATGCCCCAGCCCCAGTGATGGCCTGGCTGCTCCAGGGGCTGGGATGGAGCTGAGGCCCAGCTGATGGGGCCCAGCTCCAGCCTCAATCCCTTGGGACCAGCCAAGAACCCCCAGAGATCCCCAGGAGAGGAAAATCCTGCAGCAGATCCATCCCCACAAGCCACCACCAATGGGAAGAGCTATCCAGGGGCTTGGCCTTTGGGAATTCTCTCCTGTGACCTCACCCACTCTTCAAATTCCCATATTTCCAGCATTTTTAGTATCATGCTGACTGGTTTAGAATGGTTGACATTGACTCTCCTGCCTCTCTGGATGCTCCAAACACCCCAGGGGGATGTGCTGGGATCCCATTCCCCATGTTTGGCTCCCAGACCCCAGGTCCTGCCTTGTCTGAGCCATTCCAGCATTTCCACAGCCCAAGTCCTTTGTGCAGTTTTTACTCCATTTCTATTAACAGCCTGTTCAGGTGGTGTCATATCCCTTAAGCTGCATTTTTATGCAGTTCCCAAATTCAGATTTTCACCACTTCCATAACAATGCCTGGCTGGTGGAAGGGGCTGGCAGGGCCCAGCACACAAAGCCCTCGTGTATTTAATGTTCTTACAGGTATTTAATGTTATTTACTCCTGCCTGGGTGAGCTGAGGCTGCAATCCCAGCTTAGGTTGCTATTTTTGCTGTGTCTTAGTGGAATGAGCTGCACACCCAGAGCAGCCTCTCAGAGGCTCCTTGGGAAAAGCTCCAGCATCAAGAGTCCCTAACAGGGATAAAGGAGGAGGATTTTTCCTGTCCCACAGCAAGTTCAGAGGATCTGGGGAGAGGAACCTCAATAATCTGAATTCTGACCCCAGGCAGGACCTGGGAATCTGGAGGTCCCCTGTGGCTGTGGGACTGCAGGAAGCTGCATCACTCTGGGTCTCAGCCCCTGCTGGGATGAGGAGAATCAGCTGAGCACAGCTCTGAGTGAAGCCAACGCTGTCCTGGCATGGAGGGATCTGGAGAAGATGCTCTGATCCTTCCCATTTGTGACAATCCCATTAAATTCATGTTTCCCTCCCCCTCTCTCATGCCCAGATCCCACCTTGCCAAAGCTCCTTCACTCATCACCTGCTGCTTTTCTTCATGTCAGGGTTCAGATTCAAAGCTTTAGCTGGGGGAGCAGGGCAGCTCCTGGAGGGAGCAATCCACAGGGACCTGTGAGTGCTCAGGGGTGACAAACCCTCCTTGGTGTCCCTGCTGGGGACACCAGCCCTGCCACCAGCCCCAGCTGGACCTGCTGCACCTCAGGGCTCTTGGCCATGGCTCCAGAGCTTGGGCTGAGGCCAGTGAGGGGCAGGAAAAGGAAATTCCCCTCTGGTTTCCAGCCCAGCAGGCAGGGCAGCCTGGCTCCTGGAGCAGCAGTGGCACAGCTCTGGCTGCCCTGGGCTGCCCAGGTTTGCTCTGGGCCCCAAGGGAGGGAACAGCTGCTGCAGCAGCTGGGAAAGCAGACTCAGACCTTCCCATCCATCACGGCTTGGATGGGAGCTGCCTCCTGAGCTCCTGCTGAATTTACATCCCAAAGGAAGGGGCTGGGATGGAGATGGACCAGAACAACCCTGGGTGACAACAAAGCCTCTCATAGACAAGGGCAACACACAACAGAAATACCCTTTGGAGATCAGTGATGCTCAGCAGGACCCTGGGGGCAGCAAAGGCAGAGACAAGCCCCACTTCAATCAAACTTGAGCTGGAAAAGGAGTTTTCATGGCATAAACCTGTGCCACCACCTTCTGGGGACTTTGACAAGGAGGGACGGGACACAGGGAATGGCTCCCATGCCAGAGGGCAGGGCTGGATGGGATATTGGGAACTGGGAATCCTTCCCTGGCAGGGTGGGCAGGCCCAGAGCAGCTGGGGCTGCCCTGGATCCCTGGCAGTGTCCAAGGCCAGGCTGGACACTGGGACACCCTGGGACAGTGGGAGGTGTCCCTGCCATGGCAGGGGTGGCACTGGGTGGGCTTTGAGGTCCCTCCCCACCCAAACCCCTCTGGGATTCCCTGTGGCACTGCTGGGGCTGAGTCCAGCCCTGGCTCCTCACCAAGCCCTGATGAATTCAATTCCATCAGGACCAAGGATGGATGTGATGGTGCTGCTGCTCCTGGGGCTCCTCCTGGGCAATAACCCCACTCCTGATCAGCCCAAGGGACAGCAGGGTGTCAGTGCTGAGCACTGCAGGGAAGGGACCCAGCCCCAGCACCCCTGAGGATGTGGGCAGGATGGAACAGGGAAAGAGATTCTGGGGGAAGCCAGGATCCACCCCTGCTCCCACCCTGCAGGGATGAGGGAGCCACGTGGGAATGTCTGCATGGGATGAACCACAGAGTGATTCCTGTTCGAAATAAACACCAAGGTGTTTATTTCATTATAATATAATACATATAATATAATATAATATAATATAATATAATATAATATAATATAGTATAATATAATATATATAATATATTCTATATAATATATTATATAGAATATAATTATATCATTTATTATTATATAAGAAACACCAAGGTGTTTGTTTTATTATTATATAATATTATATTATATAGATAAATTATAATATATTATAAATATTACATATTATATTATATATAATAGTTTAATATATATAATATAATATAATATAATATAATATAATATAATATAATATAATATTATATTATATTATATTATATTATATTATATTATATTATATTATCCAATTATATTATCTAATTATATTATTTATTATTATATAAGAAACACCAGGGTGTTGGTGCTTTCTACAAACTCAGCTCTTCATACAACACAGGGAATATTTTTGGGTGGAACCAGCCTCTCCTGACAGCTCAGCAGTACCAGCCACAGCTGCTGATCCCAGGCTGGGGCTGCTCTTTGCCTTTTCCAGGCTCAGTGAACCCTGCAGGACTGGGGCACTTCTCCTCCTCCCCATCTCCCCTCGATCTCCTGGCTCACAGGAGGAGGCCAAAGCTGTGCTGGGAACCCCCTGTGAGCAGGG